AAGATAGAGTACGAGGAAAGCGGACACTGCGTACTTTAAATCCAGAAGTCTCCTCCGCTCGAGACTGGGGTCGACTGTAACCCGGCGGCAGGGTCTCCAAAACCGGAAGTTTCTTCTACTTTTGAAAGCTTTGAGGAGCCCGACGTGGCCAACAGCGTCCTTCCGGCAGAGCTCAACAGTGAAACTAGAGATCTTTACAATGGTTGCCTGGAGGCAAGGATTGCTGGCCGCAAGTGCCACAGAGACGTCGAGTGCCAAGCTGGGATGCGAGTTCACCTGGTAAGGGAACCAGAAAATCCCATGGATACATACGCTGTGAAGGTAAACTTGACTGAATGGACGTGTTTCATGGCTGACAACAACATTGCGCCAGGTGCTTACGGCGGATGGGCTTTCGCTGGGACATATTCCAAAAGAGCTTTTGCGTTATTTGTCTCCTCTCATGGACAAAGGCGTGGTAGACGTTCAGGTAATAATCTTTGGGGCGTTTTTCAATTGTTCACAAAGCTTTCAGGGATATGTCTCCGAGAGTACATCGGAAGCTGCACGCCTCAAGCTTGATTTGCGTGAGATCCAGAGTCGGACTATTGGAAGTCTCTCAGAATTCTCGTTTAGAAGAGAGCCTGCTCGTTGCAGAAAACGGATTAAACGATTTCAACGTCCGAGGAGGGGATCGTATCGCTTTGCAACGGAGGGTTCTCTGACTAGGAAATAGAAGGTGGACAGTACCTCCATATGCAGCGCTTTTAAAGAAAAAACACAAGGTGGTACGTACTGTGTCTTCCAGATATTTGGCCTTCAGCTACAACTCTGTTTCTGAAGGTGACGATTATGGGAAGGCCGCTAAACAATGCCAATGGAATGAAGAGCAGATTTTATGGCTACGATGGGCAAAAATGCAGTGTGGAGGACCTGGCACTTCAATACTATGCCGGAGAGACTTCCAATAGTCCGACTCTGGATCTCACGCAAATCAAGCTTGAGGCGTGCAGCTTCCGATGTACTCTCGGAGACATATCCCTGAACGCTTTGTGAACAATTGGAAAACGCCCCAGAGATTAATTACCTGAACGTCTACCACGCCTTTTTCCATGAGAGGAGACAATAACGCTCTGCCGGAAGGACGCTGTTGGCCACGTCGGGCTCCTCAAAGCATTCAAGAGTAGAAGAAACTTCTGGTTTTGGAGACCCTGCCGCCGTGTTACAGTCGACCCCAGTCTCGAGCGGAGGAGACTGCTGGATTTCTAGTACGCAGTTTCCGCTTTCCTCGCACTCTATCTTTTTCGACAAGTTGAAGTGAAAGAGTGTATGCTGGACATTGTTCTTATTTTTCTTCCCACTTTGCAGGCAAGTATCTGGACAAGAGACACCATCGATCAGCGTGCTTGAATCAAAACAGAGCAAAATCCAAACCAAGATTGCAGTTGACGAGAAGTTCATTCCCGCGTATTTGCTTCCCACACACAGGGCATTCCACCCAGTCACAACAAGCTAAGCTCAGGCCTCCTTTTATTTCCAGCGAAACATCACCGCACTCCAACTCTTCCTGCAGGAAAACGATCACAGATCCACCCAAGAAATAGAAGCTCGATCACTCACCCGAGCCGGGAGTGACACATTGCGCTGCCGCTTCCCAACAAGCCAAATCAAGCTCTCACAGCCCCGGAGCATTGCTGAGATTACCGCATGGAACACCGCCGAGCTGTGTGTAGGACGCTTCCTCTTCGCAGTCACCTGTATTACAAGCAAAGTCAAGGTCAAAGTCAAGGTCAAAGTCCTTCAAAGTGTTTTACAAGCAAAGTCAAGGTCAAAGTCAAAGTCAAAGTCAAGGTCAAAGTCCTTCAAAGTTTGGTCACCTGTATTACAAGCAAACACAAAGAGATCTTCTTAGCGTGCTTCGACCAAGGGGAGAAGTTAATATCTACACGGCACTTCAAGACTATGAAGTCAATATAAATCGCAATCCCACTCCTCAAGGCTATAAAAACAGCCCCAAAATTCCATTGCACAACCACGAGTGCTCACACTATCAATTTAAGTTCCATGGCATTAGTCATGATAATGTTTATGCTATGCCTTTTAGGATTTTCTCCGTTCTCTACACTGGCATCTCCCTCTAGTATTATAACTGTGTCTGTGTTTAGGAAGTTCTTCCCATCCAACATCGCGAATCCTTTCTACACATACAACGATTTCATTGCGGCAACAAAATACTATCCCACATTTGGAAGCACAGGGAGTCTTGATGTTCAAAAGAGGGAACTGGCGGCCTACTTTGCAAATGTGAAGCAGGAGACTGGAAGTAAACTCGGATAGCATTTATCCATTAATCTCACTAATGTCTTGAAGTTTGTATATGGTTGCTTGGCTGTAGCACTGCAATACATTCGAGAGATCAACCGAAACAACGTCTATTGTGACACTAGTCGTGGGATCCCATGTCCTGCAGGTACAAAGGCTTACTATGGAAGAGGACCTTTGCAGCTCACCTGGTAAGCTGAAAATGTTAAATTCAAAATTTAAATTGTATATATACAGGAATTACAATTACAATGCTGCTGGAAAGGCTTTCAACATGAACCTCCTCCAAAATCCAGACCAGGTTGCTCAGAATGGCGTCCTTTCGTAGAGGTCATCAGTGTGGTTTTGGATGCAAAATTCGAATTGCCACACCGCAATAACACAGAACCAAGGATTTGGAGCTACAATTCGAGCCATCAATGGAGGTCAGGAGTGTGGCAAGGGCAGTGAGACACAACCCGCACAGAACCGCATCAATTATTACAAGGAATTTTGCTCACAGTTGGGTGTTTCACCAGGTGGGAACCTTGGCTGTGCTTAATCAAATGTTTTTAAAAGTAATGAATAAGTAATTAACGACTGAGTATGTATTAATAAAAACAAATAATAAATCTGGTTGTTGATGATTGCAATCTTTACAATAGCAAGAATTACTAGAGGAGAATGCTGAAAAGTCATGTATAATAAAACCGATAATAATATCTTGCCTATCAGTCTACTTATAAAATGGGTAAAGTTGTAAGATGAAAACAATTTTGGTATCTAAAAAGCATTGCTGATATTACCACATGAGACATGTGAGGGAGAGAGGTCAGCGCAGACCTAAACCCTAGCCAAGTCTACTCACATTCTTCTCGTTCGTTTTAAACGGAAACTCTAAGTACTTGCTTTCTTGCCACCATCGGTTCCATCCCACTCTCGATATCCAAGTTGCTACTTGTTTAGCATGGCGAGTGTGATAAATTAACCTGCGGGGGAATTTCGTTAAAAAAACGACTTAAAATAGCTAAGCAAAATACTGTCTCAGTATGATATTATCGGGGAGTCTTGATGTTCAAAAGAGGGAATTGGCTGCCTACTTTGCAAATGTGAAGCAGGAAGCTGGAAGTAAACTCACATAGCATTTATCCATTAATCTCATACTACGGAAGAGGAACTTTGCAGCTCACCTGGTAAGTTGGAAATGTTATATTCAAAATTTAAAGAGTATATATATACAGGAATTACAATTACGATCCTTCTGGAAAGGCTTTCAACATGAACCTCCTCCAAAATCTAGACCAGGTTGCTCAGAATGGCGTCCTTTCATGGAGGTCATCAGTGTGGTTTTGGATGAATTGCCACACCGCAATAACACAGAACCAAGGATTTGGAGCTACAATTCGAGCCATCAATGGAGGTCAGGAGTGTGGCAAGGGCAGCGAGACACACGCACAGAACCGTATATGCTTAAACAAATGTTTTAAAAAGTAATTATTAATCAACTAATTAGTTCAACCTCCTTAAAGCTGTTCCTTGGTCAAGTTTCCCTTCTAGAACATGAAGGACAAGAAGACTTAGCGAGAGAGGGGGATAGAGCATGTATACCAAGGTGTGGCAATAAAGAGACTTATTTGGAGATCATCTTTGAGTTTTAAGACAACGATCACATCGTTTCTGCAGCTCTAGAAACGATCAGCGACATCAAGTGCTTGCTCAACAGTTGATTATCATGGAGTTCTTGTCAATTGTGGCAGTTCTAGTGATTGCTGAGTTATTTGCTCCAGGCTTGGGTTTCCAGTGTCCAAAAGCCATGTTCTGGTTCAGGGATTCTATTGTCGATACAGGGAATGTTCAAGCAGCAGCTCCGTTTATTAGTGCTGCAGAGTATAAGCCTTATGGCATGACTTTCTTCAGTAAGCCATCGAAGAGATACTCGGATGGTTGCGTGGTTGTCAACTTTTTTGGTAATTGTTTGTGTTGATTAAACAGCGTTTGATGCTATTCGTGAATGTTTTTGCAGCGGAGGCTTTTGAGTATGATAGATTCCTGGATCCCATTTTGCAAAGTATTAACTCGAATTATGCCAATGGGGTGAATTTTGCGGTCTCTGGAGCGACTGCTTTAAACACCAGTCTCAAAGTCCCACTGTACCTTCCGGTTCAGATTGACCAGTTTCTGAGGTTCAAGCAGGATGCTTACTACAGCAGACATGGTAAAGGTAATGATTCTTCTCAGACTTTGCAAAGGTAGTGTCATTCATGGATTCCTCTGTAGGGATGCAAAAGCTAGTTCCTTATTATCATCATCTAAAGACTGCTCTGTATACAATTGTCATGAGTCCTAACGACCTTCTCAATTCCTACTTGTTGGAGCAAAGAAGCCCTGAGAATGTAACAGTTGAGGTTGTTCCATATGTTGTGAGAGCCATCTCTCACACATTATAAGCATACAAATTCCAGGTTCCAAATGTATATTAGGGATAGTGGGTAGGTTAAGTATGGCCAACCAACATAATGCATAATCTAGCTTTTGTTTGTGTGTATGTATCTGGCTTAGGTCTAAACCCAAGTTCCATACCATGCTACTTGGCATGTCCTTACGTTATGCCACTAGTATGCTGAAATAGCACTAAATTTTGTTTAGTTCCATTTTACATGTTAATTTTAGCATTAGAATGCTAGATGCTTTAGGATTATTCGAAGTCGCTCTATGCTTCTATCCCTTTGTTCCTTGGGTTGTATGCTCAAGAGTCATTCCTAGGAGTTTAGCTTTGTTCTTTCGTTCAATAGCCTAAGGCCTTGAAACTTGAGTTCCACTCCACTATCCTTAGACACGTGATATATAACATGTGGCATATAGAAAGTTTAGGTTTTGCTTTGTGGTTATCCTATGGTAAATCACTATAGGATAAAGGGTGAAAACCACATGCATTACAACTTTATTGTTGCCTTTT